CTTCACCTGGGATGCTAGTAGCATCACCTGGGATGCTAGAGTCTTCAGCTGGGATGCTAGTAGCATCACCTGGGATGCTAGGGGCATCGCCTGGGATGCTAGTAGCATCACCTGGACATACAATGGGGTATTTAATTTCAGTCTGAATTTATCAAATAAAAATAATACTTGATTTCAAACTGAAACGTGAGTCTAGAAGTGAGGGAGGGGGGTGACTGAGGGTGTGGGTGTTGGTCTGGGACCCACACACACACCCACACCCATGGTGCGGGTGTGGGCGCGCGAGTGAGGGTGAGGGTGTGCTTGTAGTTTTGTGTACTATAGGCTTTAGTCCCCTGCACAGGGGACTAAGCGGGGACTAAGCTTTTTGTGGGGGGGACTAAAGGGGACTTTGCAGGACTAGGGGGTACTAAGGGTTGTTAGTGAGACTACGTAGTATCAAACGAGAAAAGTTTGATTCGGAAGAAATTGGTGCGGTTTTTTTTGATTTTAGAATTCAGTTTGAAATAGAAAAGCCCATAGACTCCACCTGGAATGCTAGTAGCATCACCTGGGATGCTAGTAGCATCACCTGGGATGCTAGAGGCATCGCCTGGGATAGTAGTGGTGTGCCAGGTGACCCTCCTAGCATTCCAGGTGATGCTGCTAGCATCCCAGGTGATGCTACTAGCATCCTAGATGATGCTACTAGCATCCCAGGTGAAGCCCCTAGCATCCCAGGTGATGCTACTAGCATCCTAGATGATGCTACTAGAATCCCAGTTGAAGCCCCTAGCATCCCAGGTGAAGCCCCTAGCATCCCAGGTGATGCTACTGGCATCCCAGGCGATGCCCCTAGCATCCCAGGTGATGCTACTCGCATCCCAGGTGATGCTACTGGCATCCCAGGTGATGCCGCTAACATCCCAGATGAAGGCCCTAGCATCCCAGGCAATGCCTCTAGCATCCCAGGCGATGCCTCTAGCATCCCAGGCGATGCCTCTAGCATGCCAGGTATTCCCTCTAGCATCACAGGCAATGCATCTGTTAATCATCAGATACAACTCGACCTAGTACTGTCAGTCAAATAGGGCCGTACTGCTTTAAACCGAAAAACATGGACTGTATTTTATGGTAAAACGTGGATGGGAAGTGAGCTCCAAATTTGGAGTTTACGCAGTTTGGAGCTCACTTTTCTTGACCCTTTGCAGATGATCTAGCATTACTTTTTTCAGGATCATTAGAGAAGAAATTCTCCGTTAACATAACTGAACTAGAAGAAAGAGCAAACAATACATTGAAAAATCTTGAAAAATATGCAGACGATATACTCCTACCTGTTAATGTCGAAAAAACAAAGGGACTACTTGTACATAATATCGTGTCACCGAGTTATCCTAAAATAAAATATAAAAATACAAAAATAGCTTATGTAAAAGAATTCGAATATTTAGGCGTGAGAATAACCTCAAAACTAGGCTGGGGAAAATATATAGAATAAAAAACTAAAAAAGATAAGAACAACATATAAAGCTATGAAATTACTATTCAATACGATTCCAAAGAAAGAACTAACTACGCGAAGAAAATTTTTTTTTGCTTTTTCTCTCCCTCACTTCATATGGCTATTCCCAACGTGGTTTTTCTTTACTGACAGACAACAACAAAATATAAGTGAAACTTTCACTTACGGAATAAAAATCGTTTACGGATTGTTATGGTGGGATAATTTGACTACTCAAATAATTAGTAGAGAAAAAACGTTATATGATTATGTATACAAATATTGGTCACGGTTCTCGATTCATTTAGATCAATCCCTTGAAGCTACTCAATATCAGCATACATGGACCGCGTTTACTATTGCTAAAGATAGTAAAACTTGGTATAAATTTCTTGGATTTAGAAAAAATAATAAATTTTTAAAAAGACTATGGCCCCGAACAGACCGAACAAAATAAAACTGAATTAACCAATGAGACGATTAGAAACGATAAAACAGAAATAAGTCATCTTTGGGGTCAAACACACTACAGAAGTGACTTAACTTAAGACAAATTTAAGCAACGTGATTGGTTAATTTATACTTAAGTCATCTCAAAAAGATGACTTAAGTCTGAATTAAGTAATGTGATTGGTTAATTCAGTCTTAAGTTAAGGCTATGAACACACTAGACGAAGTGATTTAACTTAAATCAGAATTGCGTAAGTTGATTGGTTAATTCATATTTAAATCATCTTTTCGAGACGATTTAAATATGAATTAACCAATCAACTTACGCAATTCTGATTTAAGTTAAATCACTTCGTCTAGTGTGAACATAGCCTAAGACAGTTGTCTCTAGTGTGTTCGACCCCTTTTCGAGACGATTTATCTTAATTCAACTTTTAATGCGCCAATCATTCAATAGCATGATTGAACAATGAAAGATATATGAATAGATAGATAGAGAATAGATGTGATGTCGCTGGAAAAAATTAATTATTATAAAATAGTACTAGTTTCGTTTGATATTCAATAGATTATGACTTTTCAAAGTGTTATCGATCTAACAAATAAAAATGTTTTTTTTTACAACTAAAAACTTCATAAAATTGATTTATTTTCGCTACATTGTAGAGGATGTTCTCAATTTTCATTAGTGGATTATCTATTGTGTGTGGACGCGCGCTGACTTAAAACAAAAATTAAATCGCTCTATTTTTGGTCTGTTCGGGGCCTATCCGAAAGGGTAAAACATACTAAAGATGACTGGTTAAGGTTTGAAGCCAATCATAAACCTCAGCATGAGTATTTCAAAAAATCTACATTATATTTAAATTTATTTATTTATAAATATTTCTTACTTAATTAATAATTAAGAATAAAATACAAGAAGTAGTAAAAGTTGTGTTTTAGAAATAGATGTCTCTAACTCATAGCATATTCGATCCTTTTTTTCAAAAAAATTGTTAAACCTACATTATATGTTCCTTCACTTAATCATATACAATATTCTTTTCCTCTTCATTTATCTTATAAACTATATTATGTAATACACTGTAAAAAAAAAAAGGTACTTTACCGAACCTTAAAAAAAGGTTCGGTAGATG